AGTACAAGTGTGATGTACCAGTGTGATGTACCAGTACAAGTGTGATGTACCAGTGTGATGTACCAGTACAAGTGTGATGTACCAGTGTGATGTACCAGTGTGATGTACCAGTACAAGTGTTATGTACCAGTACCAATGTGATGTACCAGTACCAATGTGATGTACTAGTACCAGAGTGATGTACCAGTACAAGTGTTATGTACCAGTACCAATGTGATGTACCAGTACCAGTGTGATGTACCAGTTCAAGTGGTATGTACCAGTACAACTGTGATATACCAGTATCACTGTGATGCACCAGTACTAGTATGACATACCTGTACTAATGTTTGCTGCTCAAGGTTGACAGGAAGCGGAATCCTGTCAGGTTTTGGTGGTCTGAGTCCACATGGTGCAGGTTTATCCACTGTAGGACAGCTGTACCCAGAGTGTGTCATGTGGTAAAGACTGTCAGATACACTCAGGTCCCACAGAGGTGTGCAGAAGTCCAAAGAATGAACACGGTTGTGCAGAAAACCTTTGGATAGTGTCAGGACTTGTTCCTTCTCTTGGTCACCTGAGTGAGATTGAGTCGCCATGTCAGTTATTGTTCTAACTTCATGGTTTTCTCTGGGATCTGTGGTTCTAGTTAGGTTCCACGCTGCAGGTGTTTCTGTTGTGATGAGAACCTCTCCTTCATGGTGGGTTTTAAACACCTTTGGTTCAGGTTCCTCTTCAGAAATATTGTTTTTGCAAATGTCACTTCCAAAAGAATCTGATGGGAATAAACACAATCCTCCATAAAGAACATAGCATGCTTATCAGAAGTGTAACATTATTTACTGTATGTTGTTGTACCTGAAGATTTGATGTCTGATTGTTGTGGAGATAAATCTTTCTCGGAGTCATCAGTTGTCTGCTTCACATTGCACCTCTGCAGAGACTGTAGTAGTTTTCTAATAAAAAAAAACWGATTTTAAAAAATACATCTTAGCTATGGAACCTTGAGTGGGTTTTCATTCTGAACATTCCTCACTGCACTAAACTGCAGACACTACACCGCACGGTGTTAGGATGGGCCAGCCTCTGCCTGAGGGTCCTGTTGTGTTTAAAATGTACCAGGATGTTRTGTTTGGAGGAAAAAAAACTTTATGTCTGATCATTCTGAACTGTGAACCACAGTGATGTCTTTTGACAAAAGTGTATGTGTATTTATAGATCTATTATTTCCTAAATTATTAATTTATTATATTTTTTATATACTTGTTTGTTAGGGTCAAGTATTTGGGGTTGTTCGCTGTTACAATGAATCACAATATCAATATTTAATAACACTAAAACAATTAATTAAGAGATTAAATCTTTTTTCTAACCCAACCCTGATCTGATCTTGGTGGTAGCCCTTGAGTGTTTTTTTTTCTTGGAGTTTCTGCGGTGTGAAACTTTGACTGCTCACTGGCTTGTTCTTGTTCTTCCACTGTGAATAAAGCAGAAACTTCAGAAACAACCTGCCTCTTCTCTCTCCTTCCGTTCCCCGTGTCTCTGAACCCTTTTGCGAAAGGATTGTTGTCTATTTTCAGCTGTGTGATCTGCATTAAAAGATAAGTGTTTCATGAAAAAGGACATACGTGAGTTTTGTTTTCCAGTGTTTGGGGAGCGACTCAGACACTTACCTTGTCATTTTGGTAAGCTGTGACTGCAATAAACTGGGTCTCAGGAAAAATGTACGTCTTAAACGTGCTGTAGGGGAGCTGCGAAAGGTTGCTGGACTTCACAATATGAAACCTGGGCTGGTATTTGTGCAAGGAGTTGAGAATGGTCTGCAAAATGCAAATAAATGAATACATTAAACCACATAATTAACCTGTTAACCTGCGGGCCTAACCCTAACCCAGACTAAATTAAGTACTGCTCTTGAACCCTTTGGAGTAAATTCAAAAGCCCAGTCCCTATGTAAAGCTGTCCATCTGATTATAACTTCAGTTGTCAGCATTTTTGTAACTGTGACTGGTATTTAGTTATTGGAGTTAAAATACACTATAACCATTTTTTATTTCATTTCCCAACCTGCATATTGAATAAAAGGTAACTTGATTGGCCACACAGCTGTGGTGTCAGAATGAWGCTCAGAGCTGATTCTAGTCAATCATTCACATGTACATGTACAGGTGGGACATGAGGAGCTTGCCACACATTTTGTGCTCTGGAGAGTCTGTAGAAGAACTCAGTTGGTCAAAAGAGGTGTCAATCAAAAGACAACAACCAGTCAAATAATTTTAACTAATTCAAATACCCTGGTAGTGTGGGTCAGGCTAAGAGGCATGAAGTTAATATAAACGGGGAATGTGCTGTGGGTGTACATCGAGGGTTAAGGGGTTAAACATAAAACTTTTTTTGTCTTCTTTTGTTTTCATATTCCTATCCTTTTTGGTACAGCAGGTAAAATAAGTATTGAACACGTCACCATTTTTCTCAGTAAATATATTACTAGAGGTGCTAATGACATGAAATTTTCACCAGATGTCGGTAACAACC